ACCTGAAGTCGGCGGAAGGACTAGGGCCCATCAACACGGCTCTGTTGGCCCAGTTGGGCCCTGCTATCTCAGACCCCACCCACTCGATCGTGGCTGGCGATTTCAACATGTCTCCTGAGGTTCTGGAAGGCACTGGGTTCGTTCGGAAGCTAGGTATGCTCACGATGGCCCCGATGATGCCCACATGCAGGTCCCCGACATCCAGTACGATGATTGATTTCTTCTTGGTAGGTCCTGGAGTGGCTCGGCTGGTCCAAGGGGTTGCTGCCGACACATCTTGGGAGATCAAGCCCCGCCGTCCAGCGTCACTAGCTATTCGTCCAGATGCGTTGGCGGTCAAGCAGCTGGTCTACCGCAGCTTCCAGAAGTTACCCCTAGAGCTACCTTTCGGGCCTCGTCCTGCTGAGGGATGTTGGGGAGGCGCCCGTCACCTTGCAGTGCATGCAGTCGCACGCGCGCGGCGCAGCCCTGCTGGCGAGGCCTGGGCTTGCTTGAATGCCGCGTGGCGCTTCTTCGCCGATTGTGCAGAACTCGAGCTGGTGAGATTCCTGGGAGTGGAGTCCAAGTCCTTGGGGGAGCGTGGTAATACCATCAAGGCCTCATGGGCCCCAGTGTTCTACAGGCCGAAACTTGCAGATGATCATCTCCAGGTCTGTTCAGGATGGCGATGGCTCTATCATGCTTTTGCCGAGTTTTTGCTGGCCGCCAAGAGCCTCGCCGATGGCGAGTCCCAGGCAGCGATCCTCAAGGTGTCGCTGCAGCACTCATGCCCAGGGGAAGGTCTCAACATCCGATTGGATGCCTCCCTCCGTGAGATGAGGCAACTCGCGGCCGAATGGCGTTCAGACCTTCCCTGCGTGCGCGAGTGGCGCGCGAGAGCTGATTTTTTCTTGGATACTATTGCCGAGGGCCTCTCAGATGCCAATGACTTAGGGGACAAGCTCCAAAAGCAGTCGTGGGATACCTGGCAAAAGGAGGCCCTTACAGGGTCGGCTCGGATGATGCATCGGTTCGCGAAACTGCAACGGAAATGGCAGCCAACAGTTGTGCAGGTTGCCCCAGGGATATACTCTGCGGACCCCGTCAAGCTCCTGGAGGCTGAAACGGATAAGCTGGGGGGTTTCTGGAAGGCCTCGTTGACCCCGCCAGAGGCTTGGATTCCAGACCGTAGGTGTTTCGAACGAGCGACCCCTGATCAGATAAGGATGGCATCGAGGTCGTTCAGCACTCACGCGGCGCAGTCTTTGGACTCCTTGCACGTGCGCCACTTCTGCCTCCTGAGCGACGGCGCCCTGGAGGTGATGTCGCTTCTTTTCGAGGCGATCGAGCGTCTTGGCCTGTTCCCCGTCGCAGCTGCTTTGGATGTTGCTACCACTCCTGGAGAAGCCCAAGGGAGGATTGCGCCATATTCTACTTCTGGCTGCACCAGTTCGTATCTGGGAGCGTTTGAGGCGCCCGGAGGTGGATGATTTTCTGGAACGGGCTCATCGGCCCTATTGGTCTTTCGGCGCTGGGCAGTCTTCGGAGGCGACCGTCTGGAAACAATGTCTGTTGGCTGAAGAAGCGGCCAGTAGCGGGGGCATCACGGCGGGGTTCATCTGGGATGGGCAAACATACTAAGAATCCTTTCGGTTGGCTTGGTTGAAGGCCCGAGCTGAGTACTGGGGTACCCCGCGAGTCCTCACCAAGACCCTGTACAATCTATGGCGCAGCCCTAGGATCCTCCGACTTGGGGCCCATCACAGTCCTTTGCTGCAGTTTGCAGAATCAGGATTGCCAGCAGGTGATATTTTCAATGACGTGTTTGTCAAGGTGTATTCAATGTTTGAGTTTGGTCCGTTTTGTATTCGCAACCCGCAGATATCGCTCGGATCCTACATCGATGATGACACGGTGACGATGTCTGGCGATCCTGGTACAGTAGTTCGCACGCTGACCTCGGCCGCGGCAGATTTGAAGTGGGTCTTTGAGGAGCGTCTTGATGTGAAGTTGACCGCTGACAAGGCCACCACCTTCGCGACGAATCAACGTGTTGCGCACCGCTTGGCCAGGAGGATTGCGTGTCATTGCCCCTCCGTGCCCAGCAATGCCGTCGCGCCGTCGTCTCATTGGGCTGCGACCTGGCCCCAGGACAGCGCAGGGAGTGTAAGGGCGGGGTCACCCAGCGTAAGGCACGGTTTCAAGCTATGGAAAAAACGCTATGGTTTCATCAGGTATTTCAGAAAGAAGCTTCCGCGGGATCGGTCTCGGATGAGCAAAATTTACATCTCGGGAGTTCGACCTGGGGCTGGATACGGCTCAATGATCCTGGGGATGTCAGATAAGGAACTGGCTGAGCTCAGGATTGTTCTTCTATCAGGACTGACGCCAGCACACCGCGGTGTATCGATCATGGCGAAGGTCTGCATTCACGGCGACCCCGCCTGGCAGCAGGCGACGGCCCCTGCTAGACAGTGGGCATCCAGCCTTTGGCGCAGTCTGACGACGCCGAGCACGAGCCCCCTCTCCTTCCGAGACCACATCAGGATCTGGAGGTCTCTGGGGGCACAGCAGCTAGCTCTGGGGCCCCAACAATGGAGATACCCCCGAGGCCCTGGACATCGAATGCTTCTGAGTTTGCATCGGATAGGTTGGCAGGCTCTTAACTTTAACCTTTGGCGTGATGACTTAGGTAGAGCTGTAGATCTAATGTACACTTCCCCTACAATGATCTCCAGTTTGTTGCAAGAAGGAGTGCAGCGTGCCCACGAACGTAGGCTTGCGGAGTCCACCCCCTCCTTCGTCGGTGAGCGTGTGTCGGTCGACCCCCTTCGCTCTTTCCTCCGCTCGAAGCGAGCCTCTCCGCAAGCCAAGTACTGGGTGTGCGCGTGTTTCTCCAAGGGCTGCTGGACGGCCGATAGGTTACTTGAATCAGGCTACGTTTCAGATGGCAAATGCCCACGATGTGGACAGCCAGATTCGATTTTCCATCGTCAGTGGCTCTGTGATGATATGGAGGTTGCCCAGACCCGCGCAGAGGCGATCGCCCAGGATATCATCGATACCGCACGAGCGAGCCCCCCAGAAGAACATGCTTTCTGGTCTCGCCTGATGATGGCCCAGCCAGGTTTAGAGGACTTCCCTCTCCCCTCGACGGCGACGGACCCTCTCCTTCAGGACGGCGACGGCAGGCCATTATCACTCCAAGAGCTTGTAGAGCTGAGCGAGAGTTGCGACGTAGTCGTGGACGGCTCGGCTACGCAGTGCATCATAAAAGATTTACGTCGAGCTAGTTTTGCCGCGGTTTTCCTGGAGCCAGGTCCTGAGTTCAAGATCTGGGCCCGACTCATGGCCCAAAGTTGGCCAACGATCCCGCAAACTCCCCAGGCTGCGGAAAATGTTGGTCTTGCCACTGTTTGTGCGTTCACGTCTGGTTTGAGCACCCTTCGCAGTGATTGCAAAGGGGCCATCCGTTTGCACAATGCTGCGGATGCGGCCCAGCTCGGGCCCAAGCATATGTTTGCGGGAGTGCGTAGGGCTGCGCAGCAGGCTTTTGGTTTCGACGCCGCGGGCGAGGCTCTTTACACTCCAGCCCACAGATCGGAACAAGTAATTCAAGAGCTCCCACCAGAGGAGCGCAGGATTGCCCTTGGCAATGCCGACGCCGACCGATTGGCGAAGCATGCACTCTCCCTCCACCCCAAGCGTCAGCTGCTGCTCTGGCTGAGCTGGATAGGCGGGTGAAGCTCCTACTGGACTGTGCGAAAATGTTCGGGGCGGTGCTCCCGCTTTTTCCCAAGTTAGATTTTGTTCGGCCCCCTCCCGCGGCCCGACTCCCAAAGGTGAAGACACCGCCAGACTGGCACGAATGGGAGGAGCTCGATGACGGAGGGGTTTTTCGTTGCAGCAGGTGCTTTCTGGTCTCTTTCGAGAGCGATGCCCGACCTATGAACGGTTGTTCTGGGCCCCCTACTGCTCTCAGACGCCTCGAAGGTGCTGAGACAGAGAGGCGCCATCGGTTGGGCTTTGCTGTGCTAAAGGAGACCCGCAAGCCGCTCTTCTTCTGTACCAGATGTGGGGCGTATACCAGCAGACGCTGCCACTTGCTCGGCCAGTTGTGTCTCGGAGAGCCTGGCACCTCAGGAGAAGGTGCCATCAAGCGCATTCGAGAGGGCCTCTACCCTCATTATCGTAAGAATCCTGAGGGTGATGATGCTGTTGCACCATGCAGGCCGCCGCCTAAGTCGGTGCTCCTGGCCCCTCCTGGCCCCGCCTCAGCAGGCAAGGCTCGCTTGGTCGACAACGATCGGCTGCGGGCTCTGGCTGAGCGCATTCGGGCCAAGGAGGCAGCCGCATGATCGCGGCCACAGATCGGGATGTTCTGCCTCAGGCTGTCTGGTCCTCCTCCTCCTCCTCCCTTTCCTCCTCCTCCTCCTCCTCCTCCTCCTCCCTTTCCTCCTCCTCCTCCCTTTCCTCCTCCTCCTCCTCCTCCTCCTCCTCCTCCTCCTCCTCCTCCTCCTCCTCCTCCTCCTCCTCCTCCTCCCTCTAGCAAAAGCCCCCCCTCCCCATTTCGCAGCAAACGATTTCGGCGTCAGTGCCCACCAGGACACCCCGGCCGGCAGATCGACCAGATCGTTCCAATCCATCCCTTGCCATTGCGTCGCAATGGCAAGGGATGGATTGGAAATGGCAGGATGTTTGCTGAGACGCGACTGCACCGAGCTCGCTTCTCCATCCTTTCCCTTCCCTTCCCCCAGTCGACCCTCCAGTCTCCATTCTCGTCCTCTCTGGCCACCCCTCGCGTCGTTGCTCTTCCCGTCCCCTCCGTGCTACCCCCCGCTTCACTACGCCCTGCCAACCCCCCCTCTCCCATCCCTCCTTCCCTCGTCACCTCCCCCCCTATCAGCGCCCCTGAACCCCATGCACCCCTCAGATCGCCCGCCCCTCTTCTGATGACGACTTCGACTCGGACTCGGGTTCGGTTTCCGACGACGACAATGACGACGCCCCCCGTGCCGCAGGTTCCCCGATCCTGGGCACCTTCGGCAGCAGCCCACCAGGACCGTCAGAATCGCCGAGTGCCTGTCGACGGACCGCCCCGCGGCCGTCCTCTTGAACACGGGGGCGGGGGGAGAGGTGGGGACGATTCAGGAGGGACAAAAACACACAGACACAATGAATCGTCGATCCCCCAGAAAATATGGGAAAATATGGGAAGTGGGCGGGAAGACAAAAACCCAGAAAATATGGGAAAATATGGGGAATCTCTTTATTTGTGTGTATTCATTTGTGTGTCCTGGGGCCCCTTCAATGATGGGGAGGCATCGGACGGTTCAGCTGCAATTGCGTCGATGGGCGCCTGCTCGGGAGGAAGCGCCGGCGCACGATTTGCAGGCCGGCTGCCGGAGCGAGTCTTCCCAGCAGGCCCGTCCTGAAACCATGCTCGTGCGAGTTGTCGTGTGAGGGGGAATGGAGGAGCAGTCATGGAAAATCAGAGGGGCATCGGTCAATCCGAATCTGAAATGAATCCAGCCGGGCAGCCCGCTAACCATTGCCAACTGGGGGACTAGATTGGAGGCCGTTTGGGAATCTTTCTGGGGTCGCCGTCGTCGTTTGGAGTCGAAACGTCTGTGGGCGCCCCGTGCCAGCGTTGGAGCGAACAGGTGTTTCGCATCGCAACTGCACGGGAGTACGTATGCACGTTCGTAGCCAGCATGTTGCAGCATTTTTATGCCAGTGATTGGATAAGCAGCACCTGTGCGTTTTCAAGGGGAAGCTCCGAGCCAGTGGGACATGGGACATGGGCGACGCGTTTGTGCGGATTCATGCGTCAAGCGCAGGTTGTTGGGTTAAACATCCATTCTCACGCACGCTCAAGCACGACGTGCACGGTGGACCGCTGCCGCATCATCCAGAACGTCTGTGTGCCGTCACTGATCGCCACCACCACCTTCGTCATCGCTACTTTCAGGCGTTAATGGGGCTTTCGTTGCTGGCAGACTTTGGCTGTGAACCCTGGTGCGGGGGATATGTTATACATATATATATATATATATGTATGTATACGTGTATATATATAGATATATCGCGGCCACTGAAGTCCCACAGTTCAGGGACTAGTCTGACAGCTTCGAAGAACTTGGCAGGTGGTTCGGCGTCGGGGTCCGTTCTCGTCCTGCCCGGCTATGTGGGGACCCAGCGGTGCCCGAATGGGCGCGGCCAACACGTGTTATCGAGTGGTTGGCGGTCCACCTTGCCCTCATGTCTCTCGGAGGGCCTCTTTGGGGCCTCGTGGGGTCCTCGGGGGCACTTCACGAGGCCTCTGGCGGTGAATTTTGGGCCGTCGTGGGCGGGAGGTCTCCTCCAGCCTCCTCCTGGCGCACCCCGCGAGGGCGAAGCGCACGAGAGCCACAAGGCACATCCACCGTCGTGGCTTCGGAGGGCTAACGCGCCCCATACTTCAAGCAGGAGATCGACTGCGCAATGGATTCCCAATTCAGAATTGTGTTTTGCCGGCCCTACGGAAATAACAATTCGGGAGCACACCAATTCTGTAGTCGATCTCTTGCTTGAGTCCTCGGAGGCATCCAGGAATTCCGCCAGGTCGGGGGTCCAGGCTGCGAAAAAGTTTGTTCCTCTGCCACTTACAGGTCTGTGAGCCTTGGCGCACTGCATTGTGTGCTCAAGGCACGGTGGCGGCGGATCCTTGGTCCGCAGAAGGCGACACAGCATCTAGGCTGCAGGCAGCAGGCGAAGAGAAAGGGTTAGCTACGCAGCCGCAACGGCCCCTGCACCTCACCGAGGCCGGTGACCCGACGCGCAAGAAGTCGAAGTCGAGCAAGCCCGTCGAGCAGACTGGCCCCAGCAAGGGCTACCCGAACAATTGGAGTCCAGGTGCCCGGAGTGGAAGGGATGAGAAGGCATCAGGGAGCCAGAGACGGGGTAACAGCAGACGGGGTAACAGGAAACGGCTTGTTCGAGACATCAAATGGCCGTTTTGCTGCAGTTCAGTTGTTTTTGCTTTCGCGTTCGATGCAGCACCTTCCACATGCTGGCTGCGTTGCACATTTTCGGCTGCTGCACTGCAACTTTTTGTTTTGGGCCCTCTGTTACCTGGTCTGCGGGGCTTGTTTGCAGTTTTTCCGCAATTAGTTGCCAACAATTTGCAGTGCAGTTTTTTTTGCGTTGCAGAAGAATGCAGTGGTGCATTTTTTTGTTCAGGTCGCTGCAGTTTTTCCACCTGGATCCCATGGTGGGTGTGTTACCCTGTTTAGGCGTTTCCCGGTTTAGTGCTTCCTGAATGCAGAGGAGGCACAAGCTTTGGCGTTGGCTCATCTGGCCTGTCTTCCCCGCCAGTGGACCACAGCGTAACTAGTCTTCTTCGAGTGGCTCTGGTAAGCGATCATGCTGAAGCAAGCACACAAAACATGAAACAAACAATTAAACGTATAACCACATGCCGAGGATAATAAAGTAGTCCCCCCCTTAACAGATTAACGTTGATTATCCACGGCCAAGAAGAGTTTGGTCGAGGGCGCGGGGCGCGGAGGTCGAACTTCAGTATCATTGTGAAAAGTTCGCCATCGAGGTTACTTCCTTCTTGTGTTGAGATAGCAACATCAAGCGAAGCGAACACGCTTTTTCAGGATGTCTCAAGCGAAACCAACAATTTTGGAGGCAGCCTCAAGCGAAACGATCAGCTTTTCAAGGATGTCTCAAACGGAACCAACAGTTCTTCGAGGATGTCTCAAGCGAAGCGAGAGACTTGTCGATGAGTGACTTCCTCCTCCTCCTCCTCCTCCTCCTCCTCCTCCTCCTCCTCTCTCGCTTCCTTTGTTTTTCTTTCTCTCTCTATATATATAATATGTCTCTCTCTCTCTCGCTCTCTCTTTTTCTCTCTTTGTCACTGTCTCTCTCTCTCTCTCTCTCTCTCTGTCTTTCTCCTTCTCCCCCTGGCCCCTGAACTGTTTTTATCGCTGTGGTTTACTATCCACGGACACCGAGGCACATGAGGCACCTTACGCGAGCAGATGGAAATCTTCATTTCCATTGTTTGTTTACACATTAAATGTAATAGGTTTGGAACTTTGGCTTTTCTCCTCCTCCTCCTCCTCCTCCTCCTCCTCCTCCTCCTCCTCTCTCTCTCTCTCTCTCCGTTTGTCTGCCTATCTTCCTCTATCTACTTCTCTCTCTCTCTCTCTGTCGAACTATATGTGTCGTTATGTCTCTGTCTCTCTCTCTCTCTCTTTGTCTTCCTCCTTCTCCCCCTGGCACCTTGAACTTGTTTTATCGCTGTGGTTCACTATCCTCGAAAACCGAGGCACGTGAGCTACCCTACACGAGCAGATGGAAATCTTAATTTCCAGTGTTTGTTTACCAATTAAATTGAATAGGTTTGGAACTTCGGCGTTTCTCCTCCTCCTCCTCCTCCTTCTCCTCCTCCTCCTCCTCTCTCTTTCTCTTTCTGTCTGCCTATCTTTCTCTCTCTCTCTCTAACTATCTGTATCTTTCTGTCTCTCTCTCTCTGTCTTCCTCCTTCTCCCCCTGGCACCCTGGACCTCGATCCTCGATCTTCGATTTTCGACCCTCGGATCTCGATCCTCGATCCTCGGACCTCGCCGCCGTCGATCCTCGGACCTCGATCCTCGATTCTGGGATCTCGATCCTCGATCCTCGGGTTTCGACTCGCGATCCTCGATCCTCGGCTTCCGGTCCTCTTAACATCATCTCTTTCTCCTCCCACATGCTGGCCTCCGGTAGGCAACATTTAGAATCCCCCCGCGACCCCGAACTTTATTATCCCTGTGGGATTATTCTCCGAGGTATAGGGTTAAAACATATAAAAACAAGCAAAACAAGAAAAAACAAAAACAGGCTGAAGCAAGCACGCAGCCTACGGAACGTCACTCGCCCCACCCAGCTTGCAGACAGTCCAACTAGCGGGCCGCCACGGGCTCCCTTTTCCCCATCTGCACGCACGAAATGAGCACAGAAAGAATGGGCACAATGCCCAATAGCAGTTTCTGTTCATTTTGAACAGTGCTCGCTGTCCGCGCCGCCGCGGCCTGTGTCCATTTGAGACAGAAGGCCGCCTGCCCAACAGCGGCCGCTGTTGGTTTGGGGCAACATTTGTTGTTGGGCATTGTGCCCATTCTTTCCGTGCCCATTTCGGGCGTCCAAGCCCCAGGGTCTGGCGGAGGTGGAGTCGGAATGGAGGCAATTCGGATTCAGGACGGAATGTCATCCTTCCTTTTTGGTGATTCGAGCACCTCCAGACACAAGGCGCAGCACCTCATCCTTGCTGCAGATACTGGACGTGGCGCCTGGTGGGACCAGAAAAGGGGCAGGATCGTAAGTTCGAGTTCAGGCTGATGTGCGCAAGGAGGAAGGCAGCTGCCGAGCGACCCCCATCGATCGCCACCAGCTGAGAGGGACCGCCGCTGGCCGTTGTGCTTCCGACGACGGCGCTGTGGACGCCAATCCATAAGCCATCATTGCGGGCACACGCCCCACGATTCTTGTCAGGAGTGACGTGGTCAGCAGTGGCGCATCGCAGCATCAGTCGAGGGCCGTGCAGGATTGAGCCCTCAGTTGTTTGGGGGGGGGCTGACGTGCGCCGAAATCGGTGCGAGTGGTGGGCGTACGATTGCACCGAATTTCGATGGAACAGCAGCCGCCGCGGCGGTAATAGGTGTCAGCAGTGTGTCATGATGGCGCTGTCTGAGCACAGTTCGTTCGAACAGCTGCGAGTCGTGTTGTACGTATGGCACTAGTGTGTAGTTATCGGTGTACCCGCTGGGAGGCTTCCGGTAAGCTTCGGAGATGTTTCGCATAGGCTCCCAGCGAGCCATCGAAAAGTTTGGTGCGAGCTTCCGAGACGTTTCTGAGAGGTACTAGACATCCGAGGGTAGTTCTTACAGGTTTCGCCTAGATGTTCGAACAGCTTCTGAGAGGGTTCGAGTCAGTATTCGAGACGCTCTGAGAGGTGTCATGCAGGAATTGGGCGCGCTTCTGAGAGGTCCCATGGTGCCACCCGAGATGTGTCTGATATGTTTGCGCGAGGTGTCTGAGAGGTGTCTCTTAGATGCCTGAAAGGCGTATGGCAGGTTGCCGATCGGTTCATGAGATGCTTCTGAGATGTTCCGAGAAGGTCCCGATAGGTTTCTCATAGGTTTCTGGCAGGGTTCCGTGTTTGGTATGTTTCAATCGGATGTTGGTCGGTGTGTGGTAGACGTTCGGGCTTTGGATAATGTCTTCATTCAGTGTTCGCGCTCCTTGTACCCTGTCCCCCTTGGCGTTGCCCCCCCTCCCATCCCCAACTTACCTTGGCGACGCACCCACGCCATCTGCAGTATGTGCCCATAGCGATGGGCGACACATTCACGAGTGATGCCATGACACGGAATTGGATTTGCTGCGAAGTTGACATGGAAGGCTTACGCCTTGCACGACTCACTGCATAGGATCAGGTGAGGCGGTTTCGGTTATGGTATGGCACGGCAAGAGAGCAGGTCGGCAGGGTAGGACAGCGCTACAAAGGACCCCCAGGGGCCCACGGACGTGGCGACAGTTTTGCAGTTCGCAGCTCCCAGGGACAGCGAGGTCTCATTCGATGCCATCTTACCCGACAGCCTGACGGAGGTGGAGCAGAATGCCCTCCTGCTCCACCTACGCCGAAGACAGTTTCCTATCTCCACGTTCTTTGGGCTCACCCACCTCACGAGCATGTCCGACGCCCTGCTGCTGGAGCTTTGCGGCGAGAACTCGCTGGGTAAGTTTTGGCCTCTCTGCAGTCAGGCGCTCCCGATGGGGCCGCCAGGATCTTGGTGCTCTCTGAAGCCTCGGCAGAGACCTGGAAACAGGCGATTAATGATGCGTGCCGCTGTGACCCCAACAACGCGGCAGTGCGCCTCAAGTGCAAACCATCCAGACACGGCGGGAAGGTGTTGGCCACACCAACGGCGACATCTGCGCAGCTGTCTGCGCATCGCCGGCGTGGCAGGACGGCCACATCCTGTAACGACAGGGTCGCCGAGATCATCATCAATGGCGACGTCGGGAGACAGGATGGTGAGGTGATGGACAAAATCATGGCGCACGTCTGCCAGAGCACGGGCGTACACATCACTAAGGCCGACGACCCACGAAGCGTCAAGGCAGTGCAATCTGTGCACGAGCACCAGAAGGACCCTCGCACGCCGGCCGGCATCATCAAGGATATTACCCAGTTGCCAGCCGCGACTGGAGCCCCGCGAGGCACCTACTGCAAATTCCGCTAGAGTTTACCATATTTGGATGCATCAGTATGGAGGGCTTTGCTTCTCATCCGTGCTTGGTCGTCTTCAGCTTTCACACTGCGGTGCCGACGCTGCTGGACCGCTGGGTACCTGATAGAGTGGGCGTTCCCTCTTCAGCGCCCAAATGTTTCGCACCATTTCGATCGCATTTGTATCATTATACCATACCTCTACCCGTTCCTTCATCCGATCCTCTTCGACCTGTTATCCCGCCGCTTACTTTACGTGAACGCGAGTTTTCTCTTGACACCAAGGCCGACCGGGACAACGTCCGGAAGGTGGAGTTTGACATACTTGTCGCGATTTACCGTCGACGGCGGTTGCCACGAGCGTAGGGTTGTTCACCTGGCGACCACAGGCTGCTTACTTCTGTTCCTCGGCCTCCTCGGCCACCCCCCCGAGCTGAGGTTGCTCGACGAGGGCAGTCGGGCGGGGACATATCGGTGATCACCTGGAACGCTCAGACTTCATTTTGCGTCGACCCGTTGAGGCACGAGGTCAAAGCGAAGTACGTTTCCACGCTCATGAGCAAAGCCGACGTGTTGATGCTTACGGAGGTTCACGGCACCAGGCTCGCGAATCAGGTTCGGCGTCCCCCCAGCGGCACCACCGCGTTCTGGTCCCAGGGCCCTACTCCAGGGATCGCGAGCGTCGGTCTCATTGTCCGCGACACGCTCCTCCAGCAGCTCCACGGGTCTCCACGTTGGACGCGCGTCTGGCGGGGTCGCGCCGCCAAATTTTCACTCCGAGGAATTTCTGGTGACCTTGATTTAGTTCTAGCTTATGTCCATACTGGGGCACGCGCTCACCCTGCAGGGCACGATGTGGCCGGGGTTCCTGAGGCGCTTTCAAAGCTGGCATCACCTCCTCCGGGGACCTGCGGCACCTGCTCAGGCGACGCATCGGCGGTGCTTTGGCACCGCGGCTCGACGTTCTCACCGTTGTGGGCGTTGACTTCAACTACGTGGCTGACGCGAAGGACAGAGTTTCCGTCACTTCGGCCGCCTACAGCGGCACGCGGGGCAACGCCGAGGAGAAACATTTTCAGGGCGAGATCGGCGGAAAGGAGGGGTTGTTCGAAATGCTTCAAGCAGAGCTCGTCGCACGCCCCGGCGACCTGATGATGTAGCCCAGCCCCTGTCTATCAAGGCGCTCCAGCACGATGACTTCCCGAGGTGGTTGTGTCTGGAGTATTACGAGCGGCTGCGAGATTATCCAGACAGGGACCCATGGCCAGGCTGGCGCCGCACACGGAGTGCCCTCGGACGGTCGCTTCGCGCTTACAGCGCGAATCACTGCGAGTGCCACCCGCAGTCTACAAGGAGGATCGCCTCGGCGTGGCCTTCAAGTTCATCAGGGCCATCGAGGAGGATCAGGAGCAGGATATCTCTGGGTGTCTCTCTCGCTACTCCAGCCTCCGCGATTTCGTCAGCAACCCGAATGACGCGACTGGCAGTTGTTCGCGGTCATTGGACAGTTTGCGCCGACATGCCTGGGAGCTCGCTCAGGAACACGCCATTGACGAGCTCGGCAAGTTCCACGCCGACCTTACGGGTCGAGACGCTTTGCCGCCAACAAGGCCCGGCAAAGAAACGCCCGGTTCATTTGTTCGATTTGCGGCAGGTCGCACGGGCTCGGTTTCTGCAGTCAGACGACCAGACGGCGACACCGTCCTTCATCTTCCGTCCATCGCGGCCGTGCTGAAGGACCATTGGGCGCAGGCATTCAGAGCCGAGGGAGAAGACGACGCCGAACTTGCTCGTTGGCTTGAGGAGGACGGCGACGCCAGAGCTCTCAGCGAACTGCCCCCCCTCCGTCGCGCGAGGTGGCGGCTGCGCAAATCGTATTTCGTGCGGGTGCTTCGCGACTCTGGCAGTACTGCGCCTGGCCCTGACGGGATTCATTTCGCCGCTCGGCGTCGGTGCGTGAAGTTGTCCGCGAGCATCCCGACGGAGGCCACCGAGCACCTGTTGGACAGTGGCGACCATGGGTTTTCAGATGATGGCATCACGGATTTCAATCAGAGCATGTTGTTCTTCGTACCAAAGAATATACCGGGTTTCACGACGAGCGGCGACGGCTTCTACGACCCCGAGAACGCGCGCCCCCCGAGAGTGACAAACGCAGACAATCCCTGAAATTGCAAGGCCGTGGGGCTACTGATTGGACCTCTGCATCAGTTTCAACGCGGCTTCATCGGGGGTCGCTCCACGTTGGCGAACTGGGTTGACATCGACGAGGTCATCGCCTTGAACGGATGCGTTTCGGACTACGCGGGTGCCATCTTCTCCGACTTTGCCGCGGCGATCCCGTCCATGGAGCACGGCTTCCTCATCGCCGCATTTAGACACCTTGGGTGACCGCCCGGGCTGCTTCGGTTGATCGAGCTCCTGTGCACCAGCAGCGCGTGTGTGATTGTTTTGGGGGGCCCCCGGCACTCCAGTCACCCGCGCTGCGCGGCAGGGATGCCCGCTGTCCCCGTTGTTTTTGCCGTGGCCATGGATCTTCTCAACCGTAGGATCATTCGAGAAGGCCCCTCGGGGCTGCGATGATGCGGCCGTGGTTCTACCGAACCTTGGGTCCGACATCTGCCAGCTGGAGGTCATCTCCCACGACGTCCGCAAGGTTTCCGGCCTCCGCCTCAACATTTGCAAATGCGCGCCGGTTCCGTTGTTCACCCAGGGCGTCGCAGATATCCGGGCGAGGTGATCGAGCTCTGCTCTGCGTTAAGGGGCTTCCACGATCGCGGACACTGCGAGAGACTTGGGCTACTACGTGGGCCCGGGACGAGCCGACGAGTCCTGGCGCGCAGCCGTCGACAAACATCGAGAGAGAGAGAGAGAAAGAGAGCCGCAATTTGGAGCCAGCCTGGTTCGAGGTGGCAACTACCAACCGAAGCCTACCGCGCGTGCGTCAGCTCCGTTTTGCTACTTGTCGCCCAGCTGGACCCATTGACCGATCAATTTCGCCCAGCGGAAGAGATGGCGATTCAATGTCTTTTCCCAGGCCCGTACAAGTGGATTGCCCCCAGCGTCATGCAGTCGCTGAAGTATTTCGGCGTCCCGAGCGAGTTCCGCGACGTGGAGGCCGCCGCTGTTGCCGCCAGAGCTCGGGCAGGACTTCATGAGGATGGGCAATCGGGCGGGGTCCAGGCCAATGAGATAGCGCGGATACTGGCGTCGGCGATGGACGATCTTCGTAATTCGGAACGGGTCTTCGCACGCGGCTCTTGGATGCGACGCTGGTTCTGTTTCAATTTGGAATCGGCCGTGCACGGTGTCCGTTAGGCCTCGGCCAACAACCCTGCATTGATGGACGTCGCGCACCTTGGTCATCGGCTCCAGGGCTGGCAGGTCCAGGCGGCCGTCGGGGCCGTTCAAAATAGGTCTGCCCAACAACAGTTTGGCAGGTCAGGAAATGATGCGTTTTAGTGTTCATTCGTTTCTTTCGCCGCTCGGTTCCTCTGGGCTCGTGACTCGCGGCGCTGCGGGCAGACCCCCCCCTCTTTTGCCACGCCCCATGACGTCCTCGGCATCTGGCGCGCCTTGCCTTTTTGCTCCTCTTCCTGGTCCGTTCGCCCGGGCAATAATCGTCACAGGTCGCTCGTTTTATTTGTGTTTGTCTGTCAAGGGGGGCATGGTTTATTTGTCCGTTCCAGCCAGCGATTACAGCGAGGTCTCATTCTGATCTGGGCAGGACCGCGCCACGCTGCCTCCCGCAGGAACCCACCGCATCATCCAGGGACGGCGAGGTTTCATTCCGATCTGGGTAGGACCACACTTCGCTGGACCCTGCATGAACCCAAGGCAGCGTCTGTAATTTCGCAGTTCGCAGCCCCCAGGAAACGGCGATGTCCCATTCTGACTCGTGTAAAACGCCATTCCGCTGGAGCCCCAGGAGCCCACGAAAGTGGCAACAGTTTCGCAGTTCGCACCCGCAGGGACGGCGATGACTCATTTTGACTTGGGCAGGACCGCGCTACGTTGGACCCCCCACAGAGCCTACGAAAGTTGCGAGAGTTTTGCGGTTCGCTGCCCCCCCGGGCACGGCGAGGTTTCATTCGTAGTGAGGTAGAAACGCGCTACGCTGGACCCCTTGGGAACGTACGAAAGCGGCGAGAGCGTCAGAGCTGGCACCCCCAAGGGAGGTGAGGTAGGAGAGGATCGGAGGCAAGATGACGGGAAACAGTGCTCTTTTCAAAGGGAGAATCAGTGCAGGATGGTTGGGGACAAACACGTTCGGGGTCCAACCGGCGGAGTAATTGCGGTTGGTTCACAAATTTGCACGTTTTTTTGCACTTGATGGAGGTAAGGTGCAGCGGTTCACCGCATGCAGTTTTCACGAGCGACCAGCCGTACCTGGAGTAAGCCGCAACCGCGGGTCCAGGATGAAGTGCGAAGCGACCACCTACGGTCGGCAATGAATGTATGTCGATACGTCGTCACAGCGATAACACATATTAGAATAAGCCTGGCTATTTCAACCAGAAGGGGTGAACCTCGACCAGTCGAGATCCGCCCTTTGTTGTTGCGATCGGCCCCGGGTGTCTGTGTCTGCCACCGCTGGAAGGGCAATTTTTGTTTGGACGCGCGTCTTTAGTTGCTTTTGGTTACCCGCAAAGGTTAAGGATGGCGCGGCGATGGCACGTGGAGTGCCAAGTGAGCGTTCGAGAGCGGTCATGGATGCTATGTTTCTTTGCTGTTTTTTGTTTCAGGTCTCTATTCTCGGCGACGTAGGTCATTTCGAGAATTTCAGCGAGCCCGGCGTGTGCCGATCGACCAATTGATGGGCTCTCTCCCGGCTATCTGTCCATGAAGCGAAAAACAGACGCTAGAACGAATGAGGCGCAGGGGAGTTGCCAGAAGGTGTGACGACAGTGATGGTCCGCCAGCTCCCGCGCCACTGGTCGCACGCCATGTTCCTCGAGGAGGTTGTGCACCGTGGTTTCAAGGCCCACTCCTCCGTATAGGGTGCAAAGCTCAAAAGTCATCGAGAAGGGAGAGGGCGCAGAAGAGGACAGGGGTCATGCGATGGAGACGGTGAAGGAGCAGAAGTCAGGGAGATGTCAGAGAATGGGTCAGTTCAATGTCAAGTGCCGTTAGTACTATTCGTTTGCATTCGCTGCCCCCGAAAAGATATGCTTGTCCCATGTGGTACATATTACTACAAGTGCCCTTGCTGCGTCAGCAGAAGCCACTAATGCCTCCCCTTTTACGATCTTTCTCGCTCATGCCCCAACATCCTTGCATAGGTTGCAGTAGCGTTACATATTCAGGATGGTTGCTTTCACCATCTCTCGAGGGGTTGTTTGACTTCGTCTACCTCCCACATGACTTCAAGAAGGGTTCCCACGTTGGCTTCGGATTCATCAACTTCATGGAAGATCAACATGCTTTGAGCTTTGTGAAGGAGTACTCTTTACCTCTCTTTCGTCGGTTCTCTGGCCATGCAATGCCTTCCGTTGCTTTCGAATCAATACGCCCGTCCCGCTCCCTTCTCGCTCAAGGCCTCCTCGTTGCGCGCTGGGAAATGGCTGATGTCCCGAACGTCTGATTTCCAGGCTCACGTTGCCATGGTCTTGCTGCGATCGCATGACCGATCGAATGGCAGGGGCTGCTCGATCGGTACGGTCCAACGCCCGGGTCTGGAATCACGGTGTTTTGTCGGGCGTTGTGTGATTTCCTTATTGATCGCGGGGCTGCAGCGGGGTCAGGAGCTCTCAGTTTAGTTCTGCTGTTGAAGGCCGTGGTTTCAAAAGCTCGAGCCGAAAGCAGCGGGGCACACTCATGGAGCTGCTTTCGGCCCATCCCGCCACCGTGCTTGAGTCGTGGACAACGAGGCCTGGATGGTTTCGGCGCCTCTTTGGGGCCTCTTGGGGGCCTCTTTGGGGTATCTGGGGGCAGCTTGCTGTGCCTTGCTGGCCTGCTGTCCGTCTCGGGGGCCATCTGGAGCTGTAGGACTGGAAATGTCAGCTCGACATCCCTCTCCTGGGCCCCGCCGGAGGCCTTGGCCTCCGGGCCTCTCTTGGGCGAGTCTTGGGAGCCACTTGGGCCGTCTTGGACGCTCTCGAGATCGAACTTGCGCATATGTGGATGGGGCACATTACATTACAGGATATTCAATGGTTTGGGGCTCTTGGGCCGAACCCCCACGGCCTTCAAGACGGCCCACCTACGCCCGGAGGGCAGGTGGGCATGCTTTATTGCGCATGTGTTGGGAAGTCCTGTGGGTATGGACCCAGATGCCTTTGTTCACCTCGTTAAAAGATCGTTGAGACGAAGGGTGTTGGCTATACCCCATTTTTCGATGCTTGCGAATACGGCTTATTTCAATGAATCTGCTGGCGCGTTTGGCAGCATGCGTCCGATATTGAAGCACTGAGAACAAGTCGTTGCGAGTGCCTTGGGTGGCCATGGCATTCGCTTTGCTCAGCACTCCTTGCTTTCTCTCCCTCCCTCTCCCTACCTCTCCCGCCAGCTTGGCACCGCTGCACCACCAGAAAGTGCTTCCGTGCGACCCCGCTTGCGTGTGGTATACAGTTGTATGTTATAGTTAGCACGGCTGCGAGAGCAGGGGTTTGCAATGAAGAGTGGCACGCTCTATGTGTCCTCTTTGATGTTTCAAGGTAAGTTGTCGAGCACATGTGGGTTGAAGGGAACATCTGTTCTTGCCTCATCGGAGGCATGGATTTGTGTACCCTACATCACGCTTCATGCCAATCGTATTTTGGTTTCGGAATTTGTTCGGGCGGGATTCTAGAAGGTGAGTGTGTGTGTCTGTGCACCTTATGTACCCCTGCCATTCCCTCACATATCGCCGTCCGGGAATCTTGACAGACAAACTTGGCTTGAGGATTCTTCCTTGGATGAAAACGTCCTCGCCATCGTATCCATCTTGCGTACGCTTGGGGCCCGTGGGTTGAGCCCCCTCCCGCTGCCCACACCGTCTTCGCAGCTTCCTTCTTCGGCAGGCCAGTGTACGACCAGACGCTAAATATGAATAGACCTTAGGCGATGCTTAAGAAAACTTAAGTTTTCGGCCAGAGTCTCGATTATTCTTACTGCTTCAATGTAAATCCTGAGCTTTTAATAGAAATGTTTTGTTTTTTGTTCAAGTTCTGAGACTATGAATTTCTTAACCCATGATTTCTTAAGCATTTCGCAGGGTGTAGTGGGGCCGAGAGGGAGGGGTAATGGAGGATGGGGGCAGCGACGAGGGCCTCCTCCAAGTGCAGAGCCAGCGCGCCTGGCCGCCGTCATCGCCTTCCTAGCGCGGAACCCTTTTGCCTGCGGCTGATCTGCCTTCTGCCCCCTCCCCTCCCCTCTACACCTTAGGCGATGCTTAAGAAAACTTAAGTTTTCGGCCAGAGTCTCGATTATTCTTAACATTTCAACGTAAATCTTAATCTTTTAATAGAAATGTTGGGTTTTTACTCAAGTTCTGAGACTATGAATTTCTTAACCCATGATTTCTTAAGCATTTCGCAGGGTGTACATTCCTTCGCCCCCATCCGCCCCTGCCGACAGATCATTGTCGTCCTCTGACCCTTCCCGTCAGCCCGCCCGCCTGCCCTGCGTCGTCGAGCCTGACCTGGCATGCTGCCTGCGCGTTCGTCCTCGTCGTCTGGTGCCTCCCTGCCTTTCCTCTCGTTATCCCTCTTTCCCGCCCGGCTGTCGTGGCTGCTGGGGGTCGGCCGCGTGAAGCGTCCGGACAAAAACCCGCATGCGGACAAAAACCCGCAGATTTCTCGTCGACGATGTGTGTATGTTGGTCTTATAGGTTGCGACGTCCGAATCTGGCGACTACACTGCCCTTTGCAAGTTGCAGGCCGTCCCTGTGTTTATTAGGTTGCCTATCTCCCGATTTGGGCCCAAGTGTGTTTGCCATTTTTCGTCGTGGTTTCTCCCGACCCCCGCGAGGGGGTTTTGCGTTGCTTCCCGAACAAAGGGCTCGCAACTTCACGTGCAGATATGGCTGTGTGAAAGACATCGAGCGCTCTATGCCACTCCCTTTCTGCTCCTCTGATCCGCTGCTCCTTTACTTATCTTCCATGGCTTCGTCTTTGTATATGTAGTTGTCTTCCTGTTTCGTCTCACCATCTTCCTCCGTTACCTTACCGCTTCTGTCTTGCTCTCCCCCTGTGTTAGACAGCAGGGAAGGTCGAATGGAGGCGCGAGGGTGTCAGGGTATATCAGAGAGGCGGGAGCGGTGTTGCACCCTCTATCAGGAATTCCACGGCCTGTATCTGGACGACCACATGAGGGAAGCGGGGAAGCCCTTGCGCATCCACCCAGCGTCCGCAGGGATCCGAAGCGGCGGCCAGAGTTCTTCACGCGAGGGCACTCGGGAGCCCTCCAGGGCCTTCCAGGAGTTGCCCGCGGGGGATTCGGGGAAACACCGAGGCCATTCGCAGAATCCTCCCCCATCCCCGTTTGAGGACCCCAGGGGGGTCATCTTCCCCGTCGTCAAGATGCGAGTTTTAGCGCAGTCGCGATCTTGTCGTTGCTGATTCCGGGGCTGAGTCCTGCGAAAGAGAAAGCACGACAAAGCCAAACCTCGCCTGGCCTTCCCCGAACACATCCCAGGACGCATTTCCCAACGTTGTGCTTACGCTCGGTGGTGTTCGTTTCCACTCCAAGATATGGCATTGCGAGGCGCAGGCTCCCCTCCATGGGTTGCGCCGTGGGCTGCACCCATTCGGTGCGTCATGGGCGGTGCAGACTTTGAGAGTCCCAGGGTTTGCGCGCACAGCTCGCGGTACCTCACAGACCACCCGTCGGGTGGTGAGGAGGTTTGTGGAGGCGTTGGCGCACAATTCAGAACTCTAGCGGCCATACGTCGGAAGACCACGATGAACCTCCTCTACCTACATGTCTCTGTCTGTATTTGGAAATGGCTATATTGCTCACTGTTTCTCCAGATAGCTTCACCTGTATGCATGCGTGCCTGTATCAGCATCTATGTGATGGCATTGTTTCTACCTCATTTCTAATAAACGCATCAGTGTCACTATCGGTCCTACTGTCTATATACATATGTCTCTATCAGTGTATCGTTCGGTCCCACTATCTAACTGTCGGGGCAACCTCGGTGACAACTGGCGTATCCGCCCATCTAGCGAACTCACCCATGTGTCTATTCCACTGCCTCTCCCTCCACATCCATCTATCAATCTGCATGGCCGCCACTACAAAGCATGTGCAGTTCTATTGTTTCCCCCGCACGGCGTTTTTCTGTTAATGTTGTGTTTGTTCTGCAGTGATAATAGAAGTGTTTCCCCCGCCGGACGTTTTTTTCGTATCATGGCCTCGGAGAGCGCATGGTTTATAGCATGGCCTCGCAGAGCTCAGCATTTTTGCTACTACGGCTGCGCAAGGCCATCGGGACAACCACCGAGACACACATCGGGACAACCACCCGGACAATCATCGGGAAAGCCGCCAAGGCAACCATTTGGAAATTTATCGGGACAACCACTTGGACGACCATCGGGACAACCATCGGGACAATAGTCGGGACAAGCATCGGGGCATTAATCGGGACAACCATCGGGACAACCATCGGGATTACCGTCGGGACAACTGCGGGACAACCATTGAGACAGCCATCGGGGCAACCATCGGGGCAACCATCGGGACAGGCATCGGGGCAATCATCGGGGCATCCCTCGGGACAACCATCGGGACAACCATCTGGAAGACCATCGGGACAACCATCGAAAAATCACCAGCGTAACCATCGGGGCAACCATCGGAGCAACCATCGGGACAAAGAATCGCGACCCAACGGTTGGGGTGCGGGACGACTCATTTTGGCTTGACTTGTCCTCGTACTAGTGCAGGAGCTCGCGCAGTTTCGCCTCGCCTCGCCCGCACGCACATTACGGACGACACGAACCGAAAATGAAATTGTTTTTTTGGTTGGGCGACTCCGTTTCACTTCGATCTCATCTCGTTCCGTTTGGTTGCGCAGATTGTTGGATGATACAAGTTGCGCACATTGGTTGTTCCACAGGATGAGGCCACAGAGTGCGGCCATAGATTGCCCCACGGATAATTCAAGTTATTTATTGCATGGGTTGTGAGGGTTGCGTCTTAGGTTCTGCCCATAGGTTGCATCATGGGTGGCGCAATGTATTGGGTGCCATATGGTGCGCCCATGGTGCGCCCAGCAATCGGTGTCCCTCATTTTGGGATGCCACATGTTGCGCTCATGGGTAGTGTCTTAGCTTCTCCTTTCAGAGTCTACCACCAACCCTGGGCCCAGGGTTATCGAGCCCCCGTAAGGTAGTACATTTCACACGTGATTCTGTCTCATTGATCCGCACATGAACACATGCCATCCCAGCCAGGCCAGTATCGACCCACCCCCACACCCTTGTAAAGCCATTCCGTGCGCGCGCATTCCTTTATCTCAAAAGATCATGATGCAAGATACCCTTGCAGGAACCTGCCACAACCCCCACGCGTGCCCACATGTTGAAATCGCGTCGCACCTTAATTTTGCGCTGCAAGCTTTTCGCCATGACCACTTTACAGAGCCCATTGCTTTTCCAACAAGCATATTGCAGCTTGTCTTCCAACGCGCATGCTGCACTCATCGGACAACCATATGTTTTGAGCAAGATTGACCAGAACCCACATTCTCATCTCACCACTCAGTGTATCCGGGTTGATTTAACATGCGGGCAGCATGTGCGGCTCGCCATGCGCGCGTGACGGACGTTTCCCCAATCCATGGGTTTTCAACGTATTTCAAGATAGGGGTTCTTCAAGCACATCTGAAAACCCAATAGGTTTTGAACATAATGTCTGTCATTGTTTTATTTGTTTTTTGCGCGCACTTCCTCATCGCGGCTATCGCATCACCGTTCGCACATCGTCGATTGCCGCCATTGCCGCCAGCACCTTTCAATCGCTTTCATTATCACCGTCGCATGAATTGTGCCAAACCAGTTGGTCGTTCTACGCGAGAGCGCGCGCGCCAGCGCGGTCGCAGAGACACGCTAGCATGTTCCAGTCGGGAACCGTATTCATGGTCGAAAGGGTTTTGCAAAACAAGTTGCGGATGGGTGGGTGGGATGTTTGCACGAGCAGTGGAGTTGCCGATTCCGAACCGTAGAATTTAGTTGCGCTCATATCGTATAGTGCGCTCTGGGTTGTGTTCCGTGGGTTGTGGCCATACGTTGCCTTTCTCGGTGGCACAGGCTGTTGGGTGCCATCGGTTGCGCCCGTGGGTTGGGTCGTACTAGTTTAGTGGTTCTTTGGCGTGCACCCAGTACTGTCTGTGTGTTGCAGTGCTTCACTGGTTTGGGTCCACGCCGGCACTATGGTTTGTTGCACGTATTCCGCACCGCTGTAGCGTCCTGTCGTGCGCGCCGCATTAAGGGGCGCGCAGGGGGGGAACGGGAAGCAGGGAGAGGGCAGGAGCGAGGGCAGGGAGTAAGGAGAGGGAAGCGGGAGGGGAGGGAGAGAGTAGGCGAGGGAGGGGAGAAGAGAACGGTCAGTCGGGAGAGGGACAAGTTTGATTCGCTCGCGCCGCATCTGATTCCTCACTGTCATTGCCTTGACTCCTCCTGTTTCCGCCGAGTGGCGTGTCCTAGCATGTTTGGAACCTCACACTGCAGTTGCAGGACTCGGCCCACCCCTTGCTGTGTAAACAGGGATGGAGGCCTTTTTTGGAACACTGGACAGTAAGGAGGAGGGGGAGGAGCGGGAAGATGGTCACTCTCCGAACCCATGGGCATCTTCGCGTGGAAGCTGCCCTGGCTGGCGCGCTTCTGTAAATGGCAGGTTTCCTACTTAGACGGTTCCCTGCACTTGCTTGATGGCAGCCCGAGGAAGGTTTGATCTGTCGAGTCTTTTGCACCCGTTGTGCAGCTACTTGTAGACGTTCAGCCGCTTGGCGCCAAGCGGTCTCAAGTTACGCCCGTTGCACCGCCCGTGCCAGACCTAACTCGGTGACGATTGGCCCGAAGGCGCGAATGATGGCTTGGTAAGCACCCTTGGGTCGAGCCCTTGTTGTGACAAAGGTCGCTATCGATTCGCGTCATATCCTCCTCTCCTCGCGTTTCCTCTCCTCCGCGCGGCTGTTTCGAGTTGTTTTCATTTCTCTTTGGGTACCGACGTCAATTGCCTAACTGTCTTCAGATTCGTGCTACGCGACTGTCGCAACTGCCGTGAGCTCTTGGGAGATCCCAGGGAGCACGGTCATACATGGATCTATATTAGATTTCTCTTCGCTGGGCGTTGCAAATTGCGCAACGTGCGCGATGATCGTTCACTGTTGGGAGGTCCAGCGGAGCGCGGTCCTATACGGGCCCAGACTAGACTGCCTTTTCTCTCTCCCGGCGTTGCCAACTGCGCAATGTTCGTTAGTTTGTGCGAGGTCCAGCGGGGTGCAGCCATACATGCGGACCCACACCATGCTCTTGCGATGCTTTTGAGTTGGCTGGACTTTGTCATTGAGTCATTGTCTGAGTGTTCCGCGGTCGGGGTGCTCCAGGCGATGCGCGTCCAGCGCCATGGCCCTCCGACCCTCGCCGCAGCTCCCGTGTCGGAGCAGTGTTGGCGCGTCGCGACCTCGACGGTTTGGGCCAGGAGTCTTTTTGGTTTGTTGTTGCAGGTCTCCAGCCAAGGAGAGACGTCTGACGAGGTCCTTGTCCGACGCCATTGGTGCCAGAGATGCCTCGTCCGACGGCACTGTGCTTGGCGATGCAGGTTCAGCGCAAAGGATGGCCAGTGGTGAGAGTGGCACGCGCGTGTCGTGCCCCCTTTCCACAAGGTCAGTGCAGGGATACGAGGCAAACCGCCAGTACTTCGCGACGAACAAGGCCGCAAATCAGCGGGACCTGCGTATTGAGCTGGCGATGCACCTACATCTTTCGCCTCTGCTTCCCCTGATTGTGTGCGCGCCTTCTCGCCATAGGCTCCACTTCAGGCAAGGGGGTCCTCCTTCCTGGGCTCAGGCTGGGCTCAGGGTTCATACATGGACTCCTGAACTTCCCAATTCCAGGGTGAAAGAAACGATTCGGCTAGCACGGAGGTCGAAGCCAACAATTCAGATGGCTCCGAGCGTCTAGGAGGCTCCGGCGAGGAGCCTTCCCAGGTTACCCTTTGAGCCCAATCGGCGACTGCGCCCATTCGACCGCCGAACGGGCCCAGGTCCGAGCCTAATCGGCGGCCGACATGACCCGAATGCCACTACTTCGTCAGAGTTGAGCTCTTCGTGGGCACATTCAGCGGTCGAATGGGCTCAGACGCCGAAGAGGCGAAAAAGGGAACATTGGGGATCAGTGATAGGTCGCGGGGGTCAATCCAGGGCGAACATGGCGGCCCTCCTCGGTCTCGTCACACATTGTGTGTTTCCAAGCGCACCTTTCTCCCGCCTGGCATCGCGCAGCCAGCGTTGTCGCCAGCCAGAGGGTCTGACGGTCCCGAGGGCATCGAGCCTGAGCCTTCCCCGAGGACCAGTTCTTCATCCCGAGTCGTTTGTTGGCGGTCCCAGGGCCCTGGAAGGGCCACAGGAGGCCGGCAATGGAGAAACAAATCCTATATTTTTCTCTTGCAGGACCCGTTTCCGTCATTCGAATCTTCCTCTTCCACCTCTTCCCACGTGCTTCTCTGCGGTCGTCTCCTCCTCTCACGTCCTATTCCTTCCTCCTCTTGTTCCTCCTTTCCCAGCGCGGATCGGATTCAGTGTGCGCGCGCCCGTGTGACCGCTCGACCGGTGGCCACGGTCGCCACGGGTTGGTTCGGACGCAAGCGTCCCTGCAGGCCCCATGTTCGGGAGAGGTACATTGCGCTCATCAGGGGGCCTGGAAGCTCGTAGTCATGTACATTCGGGGGTCCACGCAGATGTTCTGGGTCGGCGGTTCCCCCCCCTTCGGCTGAGCCTCCGGTGCCGGGCCGGGGGCGAGCTACGCGGCCGGGGAGGCGGGTCCAGCGCCGACCGGAGAAATCAGCGCGGTTTTCCAAATTTTCGATGTGCACTTGGTTCCAGAACTGGCTGTCCGCATAGCGTTGCAGACCGGCGCATTGCCACACGGGAGCGGCCGAGACCCCCCGTTGTGTACGGCCATACATGTGTGGCCGTACAGTGGGGCACGGCCGTGCGCGTCTGGCTGCACTGCGGTCTTGGGCGTTGCGCGCGTGCCCCGTGGTTCAGTGCGCTTTGCCCGACCGTTGGCTGGTAGATGGATAAGGCGGAGTGGGCGATGAAGGACAGGCAGCACGAGGAAGAAGAGGATGAGGAGGATCTGGGGGCGGACGAAGTGGAGCATTGGGATGAGGACAAAAGGGAATGACGAGGAGGCTGGTGAGGGTGAGGAGGACGAGGACCAGGGCGAGTCTGAAGAGTATCGATGATGTGGCGGCGGTGAAGGAAGGAGGAAGGGAGGGGAAGAGGAGAAGGAGGATAAGGAGGAGGATAAGGAGGAGAAACAGGAGGAGGAGGAGGAGGAGTAGCAGGAGAAGGAGGAGTAGGATGAGCCAGAGCAGTAGGAGGATGATGATGAGGAGGAGGAGGAAGAGGAGGAGAAGGACGAGGAGGAGAAAGAGGAGGAGAAGGAGCACGATCGTGTGCCAGCATCCCGGTCGCGCGGGCCGCGGGGGTCACGACTGTGCGCCAGCAGCGCTCCTGGACCTAGCGACGGAGCACGGACGTGCCCCGATGTTTTGGTCGCGCGAGTCGCGCGTGCACGAACGTGCGCCAGTGGCCGCGCTGGACGGAGCGACGGAGCACGAGCGTGCCCCGACACTGCAGCTGCGCGGGTCGCTAACTAATTCGATCCTCTGGGGGGCTTGGTTGTGGACGCTGTGGTCAGCATGCTTCTCCCACCTTGCGCTTGTCTCGGTGTGGACCTCACTCTTTTGGGGCTCGTCTCTCTTGTGCACCTTTGTAGCACTCCTCTCCCTCCCGGCCTTTTGATCCATCAGAAGTAGTCAAGTGAATTGTGGAAGAAGTCCGCTTGACAGCAGGTGGCACATGGAAGTTTCTGGTTCACCAATGCATCGGGGCACCCACTGGAGTTCTAGACCAGCATACGAAGAATACGGTCGCCAGGGAATGTGTCCGCGGATGTCTGTTCGCTTCCTTGTATTAATGTTATTTGGGACCTTGCGAACCCCCGAACCCCGCTAAACTGGACCCCTCCGGATCCGTGGCCCCAAGGGCATCCTGGACGCCCTTGCAGACGGTCTCTTGTGCTTTCGGGGGCTCCTGAAGCCCCTGCTGGGCCTAGGCAACGAGCCCAAACAGAGCCCACAGAGGCCCCAGACACCCACCAGACGCCCCAAGACGACCGAAAGAAGGCCCCCAAGAGGCACTCAGAACACAAACAACATTGATGTTCGATGGTTATTGTATGATGTTGGGGATGCTCAGTTTTTCGATCTTCCAGGCGTCCGAGACCGCCCGGGAGGCCAGAGGATCGCCCCAAATTCAACCAAGAGAGCTTCCAGGCAGTCCAAGAGGAGCCCCACGATGGCCCAACATGGCCCCAAGATGCCCTGACGAGCCCCAAGACGGCCCAAGATGGCCCCTGAGACGCCTTCCGAATCATTCCAGACCATTGCCTGGTCGTCCAGGGAGACTGCGGTTGGAAGCAGGGTGGCCTGGGGAAGCCCCCAGAGGCCCCCAGAAGGGATCCATGAGGCTTCCAGAAGGCCCCAACAGGCCCTTTAAAACCTTCGTGAGGCTTACCAGAGGCTATCCTGGGATGAGCCTCCGCAAACAGAGCTGTGGATAGGGAAGAATTCGCAGGGTAGGGCGATAATGCGGAAAAGAGGAAACATGAGGTAAGGAAAACAATTGACATTGTTACAACGGCGATGCCAGAAACGGCAACACCGAGTTATTGCTAAATGCTCAGTTTTATCTTATTGCCCTCCTGCCTGCATGCCAAACCGCAAGGACCAAAGTGCAGGGCGCGAAGCGCCAATGCTGTCTTGTGTATATACATATACATATATATATATATATATATATATATATAGACACCTCTCAGGGGCTAGTGCAGCTAGTCTCGGCTGAGAGTGCGTGGTAATGACGAGACTTTTGCGAAGTCGTCCAGCAAGCTTGCTTCCCTGGCGCTCGCCACTCGCGTGCCTGCTCGAGGCATAACCTTGCCTCTTGTCCGAACTCCCCTTGCCTATCATATCATCGCTCGTTGCCTCTGCCTGGAGGCCTAGGAGAGGCGACACACCTACACGCAAGCACAACAATTACCCGATACGTGCCCACCTCCTTCACAACGCGAGTCGGCTATTTCAAAGAACGCTCCGTACAAAAGAACACGTTGCAAGGCCATTCTGTTCCGCTGGACCTCCCATGAGCCCACGACAGTGCCAACAGTTGCGCATTGCGCAGTTCGCAGCTCGCAGACCCCCAGGGAGCCGCGAGGTCTCGGCTCGATCTGCGTGCTCCCCCACTCCGCTGGGCCTCCCAGAAGCCTACGAACGTGGCGACAGATGCGCACTTCGCAGCCTCCCCAGAGAGCTGCGAGGTCTCGGTTGGATGCGCGTACTCCCCTAGCCCTCCGTGCCTCCCAGGAGCCAACGAAAGTGGCGACAGTTGCACGGTTCGCAGCCCCTCCGGAGAGTTGCGAGGTCTCGGGTGCTCCGCTAATCTGCTGTACTTGCCAGGGGTCCATGAAGGTGGCGACAGATGCGCAGCTCTTAGACCCCCAAGGGGTCTGCGAGGTCTCGGTTACTCCGCTTCTCCGCCGTGCTTCCCAGGAGCCCCGACAGTGATGACAGCTGCGCAGTTCGCAGCCCCCGTGGGAGCTGCGAGGTTTCGGGTACTCCGCTACATTCCGCTACTCCGCCGTGCTTTCCAGGAGCCCACGAAAGTGGCTACGGTTGCACAGTTGATATTCCCCCGGGGAGTTTTGTGATCTCTGTTGCTCCAGCGCTCCGCCGTGCCACGCTGGAGCCAACGAATGCCGCGACGGGTGCACAGTTCGCAGCCACCCAGGGAGACGCGAGGTCTCGGCTGGATGCGCGTTCTCCCCTACACCGCCGTGCCTCCGTGGAGCCCACGAACGCGGCGAGAGTTGCGCAGTGCGCAGCCCCCCCAGAGAGCTGCGAGCTCTCGGGTACCCCTCTACTCTGCCGTGCCTCCCAGGAACCCATGAAAGTGGCGACAATTGGACACTTCGAGCTTCCCAGGGGGGCTGCGAGGTCTCGGGTGCTCCGCAACCCCGACGTGCTTCCCAGGAGCCCACGAACGTGGCGACACGTGCGCACAGCACAATCCCCCGGGGAGCTGCGAGGTCCCGGTTACTCCGCTACTCCTCCGTGCCCCCGAGGCGACCACGAATGTGGCGACGTTTGCAGAGTCTTCAGCCACACAGGGAGCTGCGAGGCCCCGTCTGGATGCGCGTGCTCCGATACTCCGCCGTGCCTCCCAGGAGCCCACGAAAGTGGCTACAGTTGCACAGATCACAGTCACCCAGGGAGCAGCGCATGAGGGGGCAGGCGGACGGAGGAAGGTGGCGGGAGGAAGAGCAGGCGGAGGCCACAGTGCCCTGTTCAATGCGAGGACCAAGCACACACGAGAGGGTTGGGAAATCATCGAAGTTCGACCCTCGCACCTCGAGTCTCGAAGTCCGAGCCCCGTCGCCGTCGCGCAGAGGACCCGCAGTTCCGGCCGCTCTTCCTGCCAGGCGGCTCCTGGGCGAGCCTGGAGAGCCGAGCCCCGCCGCCGCGCGCGGTCGCGCGCGTCTCGGCAGCCGTTGCTGCACCCCCTCGCCCTCCCCCTCCCCCTCCCCCTCCTCCTCCTCCTCCTCCTCCTCCTCCTCCTCCTCTTCCTCCTCCTCTTCCTCCTCCTCTTCCTCCTCCGGGGGGCCACGACGCAGTAACCCAGACCTCCTCGCGACGCCCCCAGATCCCCGACGATGTGATTGTGTGATTGTTTCAATCCAGGCGTGTTCCCTCCCCATCGGCTTCTCGGGACCAGCATCGGGCGGTGGGACCATGGAGCATTGATCTGGGACAGCAAGCTCCCCCTGGGGAAGGGGTCGGGACCCCTCGGGCCGCGAATTGCAGCAACCCGGACCTCCCCGCGTCGTCAGCAAACATCACGGAGTACTCTCTGCAGAAGAGGATCGGAGTTTTTTGGGCCGACGTGGCGAAACATCACGACGCCGGGATGGAGATGAGGGGCAATGAGGGGGAAGGGATGAGGACGCGGAGGAGGGGGGAACCAGGAGGGACGACGACAAAGAAGACGAAGACTACGAATAGTAAGAAGAGGAACAAGACGACTAAGACGAATACTAATACTACGCAGGATAATATGCGGCCTTGCGTGGGGTCTTAGTATAGGCAGTCGCAAGTTCTTCCGTCTTTTTGGGCTGGGGGTGATGTCCCTCGGGCCTCGATGAGGCCGACGCGTGCGGTGCTGCTTGCACCAGGCTGGCTTTCGAGGCACTCATGCCCGGCCTGAATGCGGCCCTCAGCCCCCGCAGACGACCAGGGGGAGTGGTAACGACCGCGGAAGGAAGGCGACCGAGCGAGAAGAAGGAGGCTCGCAGCAGAGGAAGCGCACGTAGCATTGTGGAGGACGATCAATGGAGAGGAAGCATGCCGTCAAACAATTTCCAGATGTCAAATACATGTTAAACATGTTGCAAACATCTGGGAAACCAGTCTCAAACATGTTTAGAACACTTTTCTTACATTTTAAACACATGTTGAATTCAATGATAGGGCTGTCAGGGTGTCCATGTTCGTGGCATCCACAAACGTAGCAAGCAGCGGAGGTTGGGGGGGGGTCTAGGTTCAAACTGCTTCCCCGTTGTACACGTCGAGGGGTCGAGGGCTGGAGAGAGGGTGGCGGGCAGCGCGCAGGCGCCGTCCTAGTACAGAAGAGCAGGGTGCCTCAGAGGTAGGAGCTGATGTTACCGTCGGTGGCCGCGATTGTCGCGCAGGTCTTGAGCAAGGGAGGATGGAGTAGCCGTGGGTCTCGGCCGAGACGCGGTTGAAGGATTCACATGCGTGTGTGAAGCACCCGTGGAAATCGAAGGACACGTAGGACATTGAGTATCGGGGGTACGTTTCGACATGACAGGGGGAAATCGAAGGACAGGCAGCCCGTTCTTCTTAACAGCCGTGTCCCGCTGAAGGTCTCGGCCACACTTTGAGTGCGTCAGTGGGCACACGTAGAGAAGGTCAGCCACACAAGTGGAAAGACCAGGCGAGAGGTGACTGCACATTGTAACGTCCACGTGCGGAACTGAGCTTGCAAATAGCCAAATTAGCCACCTCGCTGATAACATGGTGCGCTTCTGACACGTCATCGTATGAAAACTCACGCCGCGGGCATGGCAGAATGAATAGCCCACCAACCACTCCGTGACACCGGAACGGTGAACTGAAGATCTTCCATACAGGATGTACATTCATCAGACATAAGGTCACATCAAAACCACATCTTTCCGGAATAAGGTGACGAGCCTCTTGACACCAGGTCGCATCGAAATTCTAGACGCTTCGCGTAACAGGACGCTTGCGACGATCAGACGCCCATCTGGAGACGACGCCCCCCCTGCGGAGGAGGAGGGGGAGGGCGGCGCTGTGCAGCTGTAGTCCTGGAGCGTGCACTGCCCCTCTGCGCCGTCAGCCGTCAACGGTTGACCTGGCACGAGCACGGCCTGCCTTCCCGCCGACGAAGCCGACGACGCCGACGCCGACGACGACGCCGACGCTGACGCCGACGCCGACACCGACGCCGACGCCGACGCCGACGACGCCGACGACGCCGACGCCGACGCCGACGACCTGGGGACAGCAGGCGCTGGAGCAGAAGCCAGGGGCGCCAGACGAGCAGGAGCAGGCGACCGACCACCCACCCACGCACCTCCAAGACTGACCCTCCATCCCCGTGCGGCCGAACGTGCTGGGCCCCTGTGGCAGAGCCCCGCCACCCGTGCTGGCTGACGCCGACGCCGCCGACGACGACGACGCCGACGACGCCGACGCCGTCGGCGACGCCGACGCTGACGCCGACGCCGACGCCGAAGCCGACGACACTGTTGACGACGACGCTGACGACGCCGACGTCGACGCCGTCGACTTGGGTACAGCGCAGGCGTTGGAACAGAAGCCGGGGGCGCCAGACGAGCAGGGACAGGCGACCACCCGCCCGCGCACCTCCACCGACCTTTCAGCCCGTGGCAGCGACGCACGGACCGATACGCTCCGTCCTGACGCCGCACTCCCCCGCAACAGTGTGAGTCCCAGTTCCACGGAGCGACGGCGCTGCGGCCAGCGTGCGACGCTGATGCGTCTGCCTGGAAGCGGCTGGACACCGGGCCTGGTTCCGAGAACCAGCGATCCTCCAGCCCCTTCGCCGCCCCTGGGACGGAATCTGGTGCCCGGCAACGTCGACGGCCTGATGGGGTCTCACAGGCGGCAAACGACCGACGACGCCGACGCCGACACCGACGCCGACGCCGACGCCGACGCCGACGACGACGCCGATTCCGACGACGCTGACGCCGACGCCGACGGCCTGGGGAGTGAGCAGGCGTTGGAACAGATGCCGGGGGCGCCAGACGAGCAGGCCTGGAATGAGCAAGGCCCCTCTGCGCCGTCAGCCGTCATCCGTTGTCTTGGCACGAGCGCGGCCCGCCATCCCGCCGACGACGCCGACGCCAATGACTGACGTCGACGACGACGCCGACGCCGACGCCGACGCAGACGACGCGGCCGACGACGACGACCACGACGCTGACGACGCCGACGCGGACGCCGACAATTTGGGGACAGCGCAGGCGTTGGAACAGCCGGGGGCGTCAAACGACCAGGAACAGGCGACCACCCACCCCGCGCACCTCCACTGACCCGTCAGCTAGCGGCTGCGACGCGCGGACCGATGCGCTCCATCCTGGCACGGCCCTCCCCCGCAACAGTGCGAGTCCCAGCGCCAAGGAGCGACGGATCTGCCAGGTCAATACGAGTCCCAACAATTCATATCGTGCGTCTCCCCAAGAGGAGCAGACTTGGGATGACGACGTAGGCGGCGACGGTGATACTATTATGATGTTCGGGCTGATGTTGGTGATGATGGTGTTGCTGCTGCGGATGATGGTTCTGGTACTGATAATGTCGATGACACCTGTGACACTGTTGATATTGAGGGCGCGTGGAAAACGAGGAAGACGACGTCGGTGGTGACGATGAGGATGTTATGATGCGCAGGTTGATGCTGGCCATGTTGATGATGATGTTGCTGATGATGTTGACGATAACTATGATGATGGCAATGGTAACAATGATGAAATTGAGGATGCGGATGGTGATGGTGATGGTCATGATGTTGATGACGAGGATGGTGATGATGATGCTGATGATGATGATGGTGATGGTGATGATGATGATGATGATGATGATGATGATGATGATGATGATGTTGATGCTGATGATGATGATGATGATGATGATGATGATGATGATGATGATGATGATGGAGCTTTCGACGGTTCAGGGGGCAAGAATGGTTGCCGAAACCATGCGTTCAGCGGGCAAAACGACATGCCAGCCGGCCCACCCGCCAGAGCGCAGGCCAGGAACCCCTCGCCGAAAACGGGTTGACCTGGCCCAGCACCCAGGGGGAGTCGGGTTGACCCAAAAGGGGGTCCAGCGACAAGGAGGTGGTGCAATAGATTCGGTACAATAGATTTGTGGGTTTGCAATACATTTGGGGCGTGAATTTCATTCCGGGGCGCAAACGTACTGCTGGATTTTCAAGTGCAACACGTTACTTGCAACACAATGCGACACAAGTCTCTTGCGCAATACACTTGCAATACACTTGCCCCGAATCTATTGCACCACCCCCTTTCCAACTGGAACCCGGAGGGAGAGGGGGGAGGGGGGGCCGGCGCTTTTTCTTCCCATCCGCTGGCTCTCGGCCTGCTCGCTCGCTCTGATTGCTCGCCTTCCGTCCACCTCTTTCTTGCGCCTCCCGTCCGCTCGTCTGTGTGCGCAGTTCCCGTTCGCGCCTCGCGGCGGGGACGATCGCAGCGGCGGCGACGCCGCTGCTATGGCTAGTTTGGGAAATCTTTTGGAGACGTCCAAGCCGGCCTCCTTTTAATTGCCGCTGAAGGTGATACCTAGCAGATCTCCCTCCACGGGATTGGGGCCGTCGGCATGAGATTGGCCGGGGCAATCATGGGCCGCATTTTTTTCGGCGACACGATCGACAAGTCTAAGATCGAATCGAGCGCCGTGGCGAAGAAGGCGAGCTACTACGATGGCAGCTTCCGTCCCGCAGGGGGTTCACCAGTAGGGGGATCACAACCTCCTCCTGGAAATGGAAGATAGAACAGGGAGGATCGAGGAGGGTTCGGACGTTTGTGGGGCGTCTCTGGGAGTCCTGGGGGCTCTGAGGGGTTCGCTTTTTCGGGGGCGTGGCGACCCCCCCCCCAAGTGGTGAACTTCCTTTGGCGTTGCCTGGATGCCCACCAGAAGCCACGCTGCTAGCCCCCAGTGCCTCGGCAGCCTCGGCGGCGGCCTGGCCATGGCGGGAGCGCCGAGGGCGGCGAAGTGGCCTGGGCTGACGCCCTGCGTCCGCTCCGCGCGGTTCGGTCTAAGTGCCAAGCGGGGAGGAGGAGGGAGTACACCTTAGGCGATGCTTAAGAAAACTTAAGGTTTCGGCTAGAATCTCGATTATTCTTAATGTTTCAATGTAAATCCTAAGATTTTAATAGAAGTGTCGGGTCTTTATTCAAGTTCTGAGACTATGAATTTCTTAACCCATGATTTCTTAAGCATTTCGCAGGGTGTAGAGGAGGAGCAGGATCAGCGGGGGAGAAGAGGAGGAGATAGTCTTGCAAGCCGGTTTTCCCTGCGGCCTCTCTACCGCTGCGGCCGAGGAAAGCATCCTGAGCCCGGCCAGCCAGGCCGCCAGGCGCGCCGGGAGTGGCCCCCTGTTCCGTCTTATACTACACACCCATACCTCCAGCAGTTGTGGGCGGAACAGCAGGATGCCTCTTTTTCCGAACCATGGGCCGCAGGGGATGCTTCTTCCGGGCCTCGAATCTCAAGAAAAGAGTCAGTCAAGACGCGAAGTGCGTACGAACGATCAGGTCAAGAGTTCAGGATACCTGCGCATTGAGGCAACTAAGACATTGCAGGCCTGGGCATTCCGTACTCGGGTGTCGGCAGAAGTGTCCTGCGCCAACGTTCGCAGCATTATGGGCCTTTTTGGAGCCTCGGGCTCCCCTTCTGGCTTCTCCTGGGGCCATTTGGGGTAACACTGCGGCCTTCACAACAGCCCTGGGAACACCCTGTGTCAGGACTGCTTCCATCAAGACCCGGCCGTCCCGTCTCAGGCTTCTCTCGCAGCTCCTCTCGTTCTATGTGGTCGAAGCTCTTTCCTGGCGAAGACAGGCCAGACGCTCTGCTGGCCACAGCCGGACGCTCTTTCAGGGCTCAGGATGGGCCCTGGTGTCCGGGCCGTTCCCTAGGTCTGGGTCGGGGAACGTTTTCGTTGCCGAGGCTGGCCGCAGCCAGAAAAGCTCTTCCTTGTCTGCGCTTGTCTGGGCTCGCATTTGACAGGCCTTCCCTCTGGGATGGAGGGGGAGGAGGAGGAGAGGGAGGAGGGGGAGGAGGGGGAGGAGGAGGAGGAGGAGGAGGAGGAGGAGAGGAGGGAGGAGGAGGGGAGGAGGGGGAGGAAAGGCTCGTCGCTGCTGGTCGCCAGGGCTCCAGGCCGTGTGGGCGAGAGGCAGGAAGGGGAGCGCCTGTCGCGCGTCGTCGCTGGTTGCCCACTGCTTGGAGCGACCCTCCCCCTCCCCCTCCCCCTCCTCCTCCTCCTCCTTCTCCCTCCTCCTCCTCCTCCTCTTCCTCCTCCTCCTCCTCCTCCTCCTCCTCCTCCTCCTCCTCCTCCTCCTCCTCCTCAGGAGCGACCCGTGCGTGCGGCGTGCACACTTGAGGGGCAGGGGGGGCATAGGAGCAGCACCACGAGGAAGAGGAAGCGGAGCAAACGCAGGAGCAGGAGCAGGAGCATGTCTCCCGCGTGCGTCCCCACAGCGCCAGGGCGGCCCCAACAGGTGTGCAGCCCGCCGACCCAGGGGGAACAGCTCGGGCCCGTTTGCCCGCCTCCTGCGCACGCCTTGCTTCCCGCAGCGACCCTGCAGCGGGGGCTGTGGAGGTGAGGGGGAGGCGCAGAACGAGTAGAGTATTGATTCACTGCCGCCAGCTTCACTGCAGTGCGACACTTTGCAGGCACCGCTCTCTACCGCCAGGTGCGCGGCAGTCCCAGTCCCCCTGCCGTCGCTGAAGTGGATGCAGTCATGCGAACGAGCACTCCTCGGGAGGCCCCGCCTCGACGGGCCACGGGCTGCAGGCAGCGGAAGATGCGGCGTTCTGACGGCCGCCCCGCGTGTCATCGGCTGACGTGTCGGGGTGCGTGAGGTAGGGGGCCACATGCGAACCCTACCCCTACCCCCCACGATCTCTGAGAGGGAGGGTGGGGCTCACTTCGTTTCGGGAGAGCTCCTGAGCGAAGTGCACCCCGCCCTCCCCCTCAGAAATCGTGGGGGGGAGGGGGGAGGGTTCGCACATGGCCCCCCTAGGAGGGGCAGGGGCCACGACAGCATGATGGGCCTGTTCTCCACCACCACCACCATACGTTGGAGGGGGAGGGGGTCCTCCTCCTCCTCCTCCTCCTCCTCCTCCTCCTCCGCCTCCTCCTCCTCATCATCATCATCATCATCATCATCATCATCATCATCATCATCATCATCATCATCATCGTCACCATCATCATCATCACCATCATCATCATCATCATCATCATCATCATCATCATCATCATCATCATCATCATCATCATCATCATCATCCTCATCCTCCACCTCGTTCCCCCCTCCAGCTTATGGTGGTGGTGGCGGAAAACAGGCCCAACACAGCAGGTGCTTTGCCGGCCCGCGCCACCGCGTGCTGCCCTCGCCGCGGCCCGGGCCCTATACCGCGCCCTGCACGGCCTCTGCCCGAGCGTGCCTCGCCCCGAGCGTCGCGTGCTTCGCGCGCCTCGCCCCGAGGTCGGCTCGGCGGCCCCTCGGCGCCCCGCAGCGGGCCTCACCAGGAGGAGGAGGAGGAGGAGGAGGAGGAGGTGAAGGGGGAGGAGGAGGAGGAGGAGGAGGAGGAGAGAGAGGAGGGGGAGGAGGAGGAGGAGCAGGAGGAGGAGCAGCAGGAGCAGGAGCAGGAGCAGGAGCAGGAGCAGGAGGAGGAGGAGGAGGAGGAGGAGGAGGAGGAGGAGGAGGAGGAGGAGGCGGGCGAGGAGGAGGGGGAGCGGCAGCGGCGCCCTGCAGGTGTGCGGCGCCGGAGGCCACGCCCGCCGCGCCGCCGGCGGAGCCCCCGAGCGGGCCGCCCCCGAAGGGGCCGAGCTCGGAGGCGGGGCGTGCGGCGGCGACGGGCCGCCGCCGACGGCAACGATGATGAGTAGCTTTCCCAACCGACCCTTCGGTGCTCGTTTTGGGGGCCTTCCTGGGGGCCACCTGATGGATCTGTTCGACTCAGGTTCGACTCAAGTTCGACTCGGGTTCGGCTCGGTTTCGACTCAGGTTCGAATCAGGTTCGACTCAGGTTCGACTCAGGTTCGACTCAGGTTCGACGCAGCTTCGACGCACGAGTGGAGCGAGTGGATCCAGGAAGGTCCCCAGAATGAGCATCTAACGACCCCACCATCCCCATCCCCATCCAGACCCCCACCATCTCAGCATCCCTGTTGGGGGCGTCTTCCTCGAAGCCCAAAGGCGACGGCTTACAGCCCAGTCCAGGGGGTAAAAATCGGCCAGTGGGGCCCAGGCTGCGCCATGTAGGATGGGGGTCGAGTCCATGGTGCTCCAGAGGACGAACGCGACGACGGGGGCGGCGAGGCAGGAGAGGACGAGGAGGGGCAGACGGAGCAGAGGGAGGAGGAGGCGGCGGAGGAGGAGGAGGGCGACGACGAGGTCAAGGGAGAAGACGAGGAGGAAGAGGCGAGGAAGAGGGGGGCGTGGGAGGACGCAGGGAGAAAAGCAAAGATTTGTTTCTGGTGGCAGATCTGGGTATGCGAATGCATGCATCACTTTCAACCAGTAGTGTTCGCGCAGGGGCTTACTCGCTTGCAACACGAAACGTCTGGGTATGCCAATCTCCGTGCATCATGGGGCCCTTGGGAACGCCCATGGCCAAGGGCACAGGCGCTTGGTCAAAGGGTAATGAGGAGAGCCGTAAGGAAGTATGAACACATACCAGGGAGCCTGGGCGCTGGTGGCCTTAGCCAGCCGATGCACACTTACAGCAAGCCCTCAGCTCGGGCTGGCAAACGAAAGCAAGAGCAGTGACCTCTTGCGGCAGTGGCCGCGAAGACGCTTCCTTTCTAGAGATAGGGAAGACCGCTGTGGTGAATTGCCCGAGTAGCAGTGTTCTAGCCGAGCCTGAGGAGCAGGAGCGTACTAGCACGAGCTATCCGGGGCGTCTGTGTGTGGCGCTGGGGCACGAATCTGGAACAGTTCTTCTTAGGAACGTTTGTGGACGATGGACCCAGAATTCCCCCTCACGCGCGCCGACAGGTCGGCGGATGACGGGAAGCGTCTTCGAAAGGCCCTGGCTCGAGCGATTCTGGCGTTTTTTACCTAACAGTTTTTGCTGATAGGTTTCTAGTGGATTCGAAAGAGAGCATCATGACTCCTCAGGGGGGTTTGGGCGGGACCCGGGGAGGCTGCCGCCGAAGCCGAAATCGCTTGGGACATCCTCGCAAAATCGCTCTTGGTGCTCCCAGAACTCCACTCCCGGGCCACATTTTGGATGCCCGGAGCCAACTGTAGGCCACTTCGTGCTCTTCGACTTCCCAGAATTCCATTCCCGGGCCACATTTTGGATGCCCGGAGCCAACTGTAGGCCACTTCGTGCTCTTCGATTTCCCAGAACTCCATTCCCGGGCCACATTTTGGATGCCCGGAGCCAACTGTAGGCCACTTCGTGCTCTTCAAGTTCCCAGAATTCCATTCCTGGGCATGATTTTGAATGCCCGGAGCCAACTGTAGGCCACTTCGTGTTCTTCTAGTTCCCAGAACTCCATTCCTGGGCCACATTTTGAATTCTGAGGCAGGCTGATGCTGCGGCCGAGGCAGGCTGAGGCTGAGGCAGGCTGAGGCTGAGGCCGAGGCTGAAGGCAGACTGAGGCTGAGGCTGAAGCAGACTGAGGCTGAGGCTGAGGCAGGCTGATGGCTGAGGCCGAGGCAGGCTGAGGCTGAGGCAGGCTGAGGCTGAGGCCGAGGCTGATGCAGGCTGAGGCTGAGGCAGGCTGAGGCTGAGGCCGAGGCTGAAGAGGCTGAGGCTGAAGCAGGCTGAGGCTGAGGCTGAGGCAGGCTGAGGCTGAGGCAGGCTGAGGCTGAGGCTGAGGCAGGCTGAGGCTGAGGCTGTGACTGCGACTGCCGTTGCCGCTGCGACTGTCATCGCGAATGCGACTACGATTGCGAGAACAGCAGAATTCGACAACTGGATTCCCATTTGAATCTTAAGGGGAATGCTTTCAGATATGCTTCTACACATCGCTGTTAGGTTGCTTTGCCGGGATAATTTCTCGTGTCAGCGGGGTCGCAAGCCCCCGCGCAGCATGATTCTCAGTCGATGGTGGGACATGTTGTGTTTCGCTTCGCTTTCTATCGCCATAGCTAGCCGAGAAATACCAAACGCTGGAGGGCCGAGCGCTCGGTGGCGGCACGACCACCGTGGAGTTCCGTTTCGCCGGATGTCATTCATGACGTCAGCGAGCCATTGCACAGCAAGCACCGACCATCCTGTTGTCCAGTTTTGTGGTTTTTGTTTTTTGTCCAACGCCTGTGATTGTCTTCTCTGCCTCAATCCCTAGGCCCGCTGCCTGGTGACTTTGAATTTGGTTCGGCCTGCAGCTGCAGGCATGTGGTCGACCTGACTGTCTACCGCCTTTCCGTATCCCACGTCGAGCGTTGCCGACTTTGCGTCTGCTGGTAAGGGCGGCTCTTGTGGCATTGTACTAGGCTTATCCTGCACGCTGCGCGTTGCACCGTTTGAATCCACGGCCTGCCACCAGCGCTCGGCCAGAGGGCCGCGTTCTGTCGAGCGGGCCTTCCGCCGGTGGGTGGTAGCCTCGCATGTGACGTCTGCGGGCGCGCATGCGCGCTAGTCGGTCTTGTGGCTGGCTATGTTGGAGCTGGCGAGACCTCTTCGAGTGGGGTCGCGTTTCAAAAAGAGCGCCTTCGAGGTGCGAGAAGCGAGCTGGGCGTTGTGGGGGAATCTGTACCATATCTACGAATTTCTTACTAAGAGAGGGTGGCGCGGTGCACGGGGGACAGTCTTAGCGGATGACGTGAAGCGTCTTCGAGGTACGAGAAGCGAGCTGGATTTTGTGGCTGAATGTGCATCAGATCTAATAGTGACGGGAAGAGTCTTCGGCGCAGGAGAAGCGACCTGGACGTTGTGGCTGAATCTGCAACAGATCTAAACTTATATTTCTCATGAGGGGTGGCTGATTGCACGGGGGGCAGGGTTAGCGGACCCCCCCGAAGTGCGATCTCGCTGGATGCATCCCCCCAAACATTGCGTTTTTTGTTTCCGACGTCGAGTTTAAGAAAAAAACAAGCGCTGGGCTCGAAACATCATCGAACAGTTGACCGCCGTGAAATTCATTCCTCTGTATGAAATTGCGTTTCGCTTGAGACATCCTGACAGCAGCGAAATGTCGACGGAGGCGTTGTACTGCCGATTATGTCGGGCTCCCCGTCTTGGCCAGGGACATCCTCAGAAACTACCTGGCGGCGCGGCGGGCCAGGGAAACTAACCTTGCAAGGATTTACATTTCGCTAAGGACATCTTCAACCACATGAGATGTGTTCAGCATCGTATTGACATCGTTCTTGCAGTGCTTCAAGGAGAATTTTCCACATGCGTCCAAGAGCGCCCTGCTGACTATCGAAAATGTCCTTATTTCGCGAGGGACATCCTAAACAGTGAAAGCTGTTGTTCGAACATCGTCTTGGAACCGTTCTTGAGAAGAAAAAAAAAAAAAAAAAAAAAAAAAAAAAAAAAAAAAAAAAAAAAAAAAAAAAAAAAAAAAAAAAAAAAAAAAAACAGGCGGCTCAAGCCAGGCTTGTAATCATGGCGATTTCGCGAGGGGCTCCCTCGAACTTAGGAGTGTGTGTGAGGCATTGGGGCAACCCCAAACGAGCCCCAAACGATGCCCAATATGACCTCAAGACCGCCCTCGAGATTCCTCTGCTGCATTTGGCTCGAGACGTCCTCGCCAACATGAGTTGTTCGCAACACCGTCTTTTACAAACAACAAGCATGTCGCTCGAAACGCCCGCCAGACAATGGAAACCGTCGGTTTAGCAAACGTCTGGAGATGGGGATATCTTCTGAGACATTGTCGAACGCATTGTTTGAGACGATGCGTGTAAAAAACTCATGCGTTTCGTCTGGGGCATCTCCAGAACATGGGCGGGACCGCGGCACCCCCAACACGCAGAGGCACGGCAGAACACGAAAGCACGGCAGAACACACAGGAGCAAGGCATAACACACAGGCACACCCGTAGCCATGTTGGCTCAAGGCCATGGGGGGCCCGACGACCGCGAGTCGTTCGCGGCGCTCTGGGCGCGAGGGCATCCGCGCTTTGGGCCAGTGCATTTTCTTGTTGTGCTTCTTGCTCTCGCAGCGGGGGGGCGCTGCCCAGCGGGCAGCGCGGCTGGCGCCATGGCGGGGCCCCAGCGCGGCGGCAGCAGTTGCAGGCGCAGCAGGACCTACTGGATGTGCAGCTGCAGTTGCTGGAACTGGGACTGGCGCCCCACGTGCCTCAGCTGTGGGCGTGCCGCGCCGCCCTGGGCGACAGCTTCGCCCCGCGGCAAGGCGAAGCCCGAGGCTGACGAGGACGGCTGGGCAGACCAGCCTCGGGGGCGTCGTGCCCAGCGGCAGGCCCGCAGCGCAGCGTCGCGCACGGCACCCACTAATTCGCAGACCTCGGCTTCAGCAGCGAGTGGGGCGCCCAGCGACGGAGGCGCCACGGCGATCGAGAGGCTGCGGACAACGGTCGAGCGGCTTGAGGCGCTGCAGGCTGGGCCGCCAGACGGCGCCGACAGCTGCTTCGCGGACGTCGTGGCCAACCAGCTGGATGCGAAGAGGGCAGAGTTGGCCGTCGCCCAGAAGGAGGCAGCGGATCAGAAGGCCTCCGCGATGCCGCGGTCGGCTCTGCTGCATATGGAGGCGAACGCCATCAGCAAGGAAGAGAAGCGGCCCCGCGCAGCCCGCCAGGCCCTCGAGCAGAAGCAGGCGGCGCGGGACCTCGCGGAGCCCCAGCTGCAGAAGGCCCAGGACGAGCTCGCCGCGCTCGACGGCGAGGTGGAGGAGGCCAGCAAGGCGCTCCAGGCCC